TAATTAATCCTATTCTTTATATGAAATTTATAGGAATCAGCATCTCATTTACTAGTTTGTAAAAGAAATGTGGTTTTACTATGTTCCATGTAATGGGAACAATATTTGTATACTGTGGAGCCAAACCATAGAGGAAATAATTTTTATATACCTTGTTAACTACCATTCTCTTCAAAAATTTTCTTATATTTTTGCTTTTATAATAAATTGTATAAGCCAAATCTGTTCACATACAGAATTTCTCTGATGTGAAGCTGTCAAAAGCAACATTCTTCTCTCTCTGAAACAGCAAAATCCCCAAACCCATGCTAAAAAAAGATGGTCCCAAAAGCCAGGCTCATCTATTCAGACCTCTGATTTCACTGGGATGCTGGCCCTATAGTTAGTTATATTTTATAACATTCCATACCTTCAATCAGCTTGTCTAGTCTTCAGTGGCAAGTTTGTTTTAAATTATGTAGTCTATCAATATCAGATGTTTCTTTCCTGGTGTTGTCTTGATTGGATTGTTATGGATAATTTCTTATCAGTATTTTCAATGAACTGCTTGACCATAGGCTGCAGTGCTATACTTTTAAAAAGTTATTTATTTTATACACAGTATTGACTTGTATATTCAAACTTTAAATATTCTTTCATTTGCTTGTTTAGTCCTGTTTATTTTAATCAGATGTATGGTTATTCTTTGATTATTTTTCCAGTCCACCTTGTAAGGGCAAACTTTCTTAAGAAATATAGAATATTCTGGCCATTTCAAAATGGTTCTTTCTTTTAACCTTTCTTTTTCCAGAAGCATGAGAAGATTCATGTATAATTGGCATTATTTTTTCCTTAAATGTTTGATAAAATGACTAGTGAAGTAACATCAATTTGGAGTTTCTCTGTGAAAAAATATTTTAATTACAAATTTAATTTATTCACTAAATATAAAGCTATTCAAATTTTATCTCCTTATATCAATTGTGATAATTTGTCTTAAGAAACTTGTCAGTTTTATCTGAATTGTCAAATTAATTTCCATAAAGTAGTTCTTAATATTCCTTATTTTTAACATATATAGGGTGGGTAGTAATGTGCCCTCTTTCATTGCTGATATTAGAAATTAGTTTTTTCTCTCATTTTTACTTCAGGAGCACAATAAGAAATATATCAAATCAAGTATATTGATTTTTTTTGGAAAGCATCAGCTTTTAGTTTCATTCTCAAGTTTCTACCTCATCAATTTCTACTTTTATCTTTATTCATTTGTTCCTCCTATGTATTTTGCCTTTAATTTTGGCTTATATTTTAGTTCCCTAGAGTAGCATTCTAAATCATTTATTTTAGACTTTTCTTTTTCTCTAATATAAACATTTAAAGCTATAGATTTTCCTCAAAACACTATTTTACCTGAATCTCATATATTTTGATATGTTTTCATCTGCACACTGTTAAAAATATATTCTAATTGCCTTTGTGACTTCTTTGAGCCATGGCCATTTAGAAGTGATATAATTATTCCCAAATTTTGGGGGGCTTTTCAAGATATCTTATTATTCTTGATTTCTAATTTAATTCTCAACATAAAATAAATGTGTTGAGATTTAGTGCATGGCTCAGAATATATTCTGTTGATAAATATTGCAAGTATACTTGAAAAGAATGTTTATATTTAGTTCTTAAATATAGTACCCTATAAATATTGATTATATCTGTTGGGATTCCTTAGCTGCTCACTCATTGAGATAATTTTCCTTAAATTATTTCAGCATAATTTCCTTTAATCCTCTTCATATATTCAATAAAACTACTATGAAGTCTTTATCAGTTAAATGCAATATCTTAAACTTCAGAGTCAGTTTTCCTTAACTGCCTATTTTTCTGAATGTAGTTCATACTCTGTTTCTCTGAATGTCCGGCAATTTTTGTTAATAAATTGGACATTACAGAAAAAATGATATAATGACTGTATTCAGCTGTGTCCTGAGAGTTTTTTTCCCCTAGTAGGAAGCTGTCTGGGCATAAACTATAAACTTTATCTCCCCTGCAGTGTTCAGCAACTATCTCTGCTCAACTCATATGGCTTCCAAATGATAAATTTTTTAGCTTGATTCCCTGATGTAACATGGCATTCAGCCAAGGGTTTAGGCAGAGATTGCCCTGAGATTTCAGAGTACAATCTATCTGCAGTTTCCTTGTTTCTGAAGACTCCTCTTCAATTTCCAGCTGTAGTTCCAGTCTCAGGCTCTATATTCTGATTTCTGAAACCAGTAAGTCTTCAGATTTCTGCTGCCTAAATTGCACATAGTTGGAAAATATTCCCTTAAAAAAAATCATCAAATTCACAGAGCTCACCTGGTGAACCCTCTGTCTTCCAAGTGTCTTACCCTTCTTTTTTTGCCCCATGCATATTTTAGCAGTCCGAAAAGTATTTGTACAATTAACCACCTGATTTGGGGTCTTACCACTTTCACAACTCTCACTTTAAGGGATTTACCCTCACATTTCCAGTAGTTCCCATCCCTAAACTCTGTTCTCTGCCACTGAGTCAGTAGAGCTGCTGTTTTCCACAGCCATTTATTTCTGCCATTGCTGTGGAGGTGGAGGAGCACCCTTAGGCTAGAAAGACATAAATTTATAATTCTTATATATCCTAGCTGAAGTTTTTTTTCAAGAGTAAATTCTTCTCTGCCTTCCTTCTTCTTTAAGATGTGTTTCAGGGCCATTAAATAATATACATATAATATATATACACACAATTATAAATATTATATATGGCTTATATATTATATATTACATATTTTAATATATAAATATACTTTTAACATATAGCCTCACCTGTCAATACAAATATTTTTCTCACTATATTATCAAACAGTGTATTTTCCTATCCTGCTGGTAATAGTCATGGTCTTCAAATGTTCTTGTCTACCTTTGTTACTGCTTGTTGTTAAATATATATCTTCAACCCTTTCAATGCTCTTTGCAGTCACTACTTCTAAGTGTGTAGCTGATGCAAACACTAAGCAATGTCAAACGACAATATTTAAAGACAAACATTCTCTTAAGAATGCTTGCTCTCCATTTCCAAAAATAGCAAAAAATAGGAGACTTAAAGGCTGCCATCTTCTTTTTTAAAAAGTCTTCTTTAAATTTATTTTTCTAAATGGTAAGGTCTTTGTCCTCTTTTCCACCTATTATACAGTATATAGAAAATAAAAAGGTTTTGAAAAAATTTCTACTAACCTTTACAGTGCCACAATCACATTGTTCACCTGGTTCCAACACTCCATTGCCACATTTTGCCTTTGCAGTTTGTTTGTAAACTGGCGTAACAGGCTGGCTGTTATGAAGACATTCAAGGTCAGAACTTGAAGCAAGATATTTAAACTCATCCAAGCTACAGGTACTAAAATCTTTAACACCTGGAGAGTACCTAAAATATTAAAAACAGGGGTATGATAAAAGTTATTGCCATATATCTCCACATTTGCCCCCATGTATGGCATTGCAAGAGAGATTTAAAGAGTGTTATTTTTCATAGAAAACAAAAAACACAGTTTAAAAAATATTAATTGCACTGCTAATATGTTTAACATACTTTTTAAATTTCACCAGGAAAATTCTTATAATGACAAAACAAGAACTATGTTATTCTTACTTACTTTCCCAGTGCCAAACAATTGAATTTAAAATTTTTGGCTTCAGTATTTAATGTACTTTTAATCTATTTAATGTTTTCTTATATTTTTTCTTTAAATGCCAATATAAATACACTTAACAGTATATTTATTAATAGTATTTATTATTACTATTTATAAATAGTAACTGTAATAGCACATTTTAGAGGGGTTTTTTTGCTCTCCATAATTAAACATTTTTCAAGTAAAAATTTGTTGTTTGAACTATTATGGGAGGGGCAGTAGGAGTACCTGTCCTGACAGAATAAAAGCTGTTAGCACTTTGGTAACACTTTGGCATCCAAGTAAAACACTAGAAATAATATGATTTGAGAGACTAAAGACTGTGCCCTAGACCAGGGTTTGAGAAACTTTTCTGTAAAAAGCCAGATAGTAAACAGTATCAGCTTATATGCTGTATACTCTTTTGGAACTGTAGTGCAAAAGAAGTCATAAACAATATGAAAACCAATAAGCCTAGATGTACTTCAATAAGATTTTATTTAAACTCAGGCAGCCAGCCAAATTTGGCTCATGGATTATTGTTGGCTGATGTCTGTCCTGTACTAAAATCACTATATCAATTTTAACACAGCTTAATCCAAGCTCTGACAGGATCCCCAGAGGAAACCAAGTTGGAAATACCTTGAGTTTCCATATATCCATATTAATAAAAGCATAAAAGCAAGCAAATAAAATTCAAAATGATTAGCCAACAGTTGAATTGCCTGGTAGAAAAAGAATCAATGCTTTTCAGAGGAAGGTAGGAGCTTTCTATTGTATAACAACAATATTTAATATGATGATAATAATAATAGACATCTAAGAAATAAGAAAATGTGATCCATAGCCGATAAAAAATGTGGTCAAAAGAAATCAACACTGAGATGGCCTAGGTGTTAAATTTGGCATACAAATACTTAAAAGGAACTGATATTAAATATTCGAAAACGCTTAGTTAATTCAGAGAAATTAACAGTCTTACACAGTGAACACTCAAAGTATAGTACATATTCAATTTACATAAAATTGTAGAGCACGGTAAACTAACTGTAGTGACAGAAATCAGATTAGCGGTTGCCTGGGGCAAGGGTAGAGGTAAAAGGACTGCTAAGGGTCACAAAGGAACTTTCTGTGGAGAGAGAAAGGCTACATAGCCTGATTGATACTGTAGTTCAAAGATTTATATGTATTTCTCAAAAGTCATAAACTTGTACTCTTAAAGCATGTCAATTATTGTGGACAAATTATACATCAATAAAGTTGAAAGTGGTATTGGAATAACTGGAAATCCACAAGGCAAAATAAAATGAACTGAAATACATATATAATAATTAACCCAAAATGTTAAAGCATAAAACTGAGTATAACAGCTAAAAAACCATGACTCAGAAAAGGAAAAATGATAAAGTGTACTTCATCAAAATTAAAAAAGTGCTCTTTAAAAATGCATTATAAGGAGGAAATCATGTATCTGTAAACCAGAATATATAAACAATTCTTACAACTCAATAAGAACACAAAAATCTTATTTTTTTAAAAAAATGAGGGGAAAAAAAGATTTGAATAGGCTCTTTACCAATACAAACCTATTAAGCATGAAAATATGTTCAATATCATTAGTTCCTAGGAAAATGTAGATTAAAACCCATATGAGATACTACTACATACCCACTAAAATGATTCAAATTAAACATACTGAACATACCAAGTCTTAGTGATGATGTGAAACAACCAGGGCTGGCTACACAATTTGTGGAAACCAATGCAAAATGGAAATGCAAGGCCCCTTGTTTATAAAGCAAGGGAAAAGTATTATTAATGATACTGACATTAAAAGCTTTTTTTCCTTTCTTCAACAGTCTTTCTCCCAATGGCTCATGGTGTTATTCATTTGCAATTTAATGTCTTTCTAAGTAAAAAAATTAACATGAATTGTACTGTTCATCCTTATATTGCACAATACCAGTTTAAATGCAAATATCAAAGCGTTTAACTTTATGCATTCGCTGAAATTACACACTTCGTCTGGCTTGTCCCTAGAGGGAGCTTTCAAGCGGGCCAGAAAAAAACACATACAAGCCAGGCTCTGGAAAGTAAGGAGAAGAGAGTTCCCCAGGCATGGAGTGCTAGGGGAGTGTTGGCCCATTTTGCTGTGTTTCCGACCGTGCTTGAAAAGAATGTTTCTTCTGTAGTCATTGGATACAGTGTTTTACAATTGTCAATTACTTTAGTTTGGCTAATAGAAATGTAAAAGTTCCTAACCAAAAAATTTCTTAAAAGGAAGACGTGTATTTCATAAAGAAAATTATCTTACAGTGCTTTTGGTGACATTGTGCAAACATCTCCTGAACAAAAGCAGGCGTCAATACTGTCAAAACTCAATCCCATATTAAGGCCAAGCAACTGCACAATACTGACAGTGTACGACTCCAAAGATAAACCCTCTAGAAACTAAATATAAGGAAAATAAAAGAAAAAGATTCAGCTAAGAATTCTACTCAGTTATTTTTTTTTAAAATAGTACTTACCATAATCAAAAATTAGTAAATAAAACTCATTTTTAAAATGTATTAATGCATCCAAGATACCTATATAAATGCAACTATAGTAGTTATATAAGCGTTTAGATTATAGATTTATTAAACATGGGTAAATAGACAAAAGTTTAATTTCAAAATACTATTACTTAATGACAACAGCATCTATCTTAGAGTTTTAAATACCACATTGTATTGTGTCTTTAAATTATTTTCAAAGTGCCTCTAGTCTTTTAATAATTCTACATTTTCTTTATGGAAGGCAGCCTCTAAAATGGGTCTCAATGATTAATGCTTTCTGCTATTTATGTCCTTGAATGCAAGCTGGACTTACTGACATACTTCTAATTAACTGAGTATAGCAAGAGTGATGGGTCATCACTTCCAAGATAGGTTAGAAAAAGACTGACTTGGATTCTGTTTCACTCTCCTCACTCTGGGGGAAGCCAGCCAGCTACTATGGCATGAAGCAGGCCTATGGAGAGGTCCATGTGAGTGAGCTTGGAAAAAGATTTTCTGGGGTCTTCCAATAGCCAGGTGACTGAGCTTGGAAACAAATTCTCTGTGTTGAACCCTGAAATTACTACAGCTCTAGCTGGCACCTTGATTTTGTCCACTAAGATTCTCCTAAAATCACAACCCACAGAACTATGTTGTTCTATCTGCTAAGTTTTGGTATAATCAGGTATACAGCAATCGATAACCAATACACCCCAGTAGGTATTGCTGTTCTCCTTTATTTCCAGTTTCTGCACACAGGTGTTGTTTATAGCAGCTTTATTCAAAGTTGCCAAAATTTGCAAGCAACCATGATATCCTTCAGTAGGTGAGCCTCTACATAAACTGTAGCACATTTCAGATGATAGAAGATTATTCAGCACTAAAAAGAAATGAGCTATCAAGTAATGAAATGAAATGAAGGAACCTTAAATACATATTACTAAGTGAAAGAACCCAATCTGAAAAGGCTACATACTGTATAATTCTAAATATATGACCTACTGAAAATAAAACCAAAATTATGAAGACAATAAAAAGATTTATGGTTGCTTATAGGGAGGGGACGATTAATAAGCAGAGCACACAGGATTTTTGAGGGACAGTGAAAATGTTCTGTATGATACAATAATGATGGATATCTCTACTCCAAGCCTGTAGAATGTACACCAAGATTAAACCCTAAAGTAAACTATAGACTTTGGGTCCTCACCTGCTTGCCTGCTATCAACCAAAACAACAACTGAGGCAAAGAGCCCATATAACTGCCTACGTCCTAATTCTGGAGTCCTAACCTCAGGCACAGATATTTTAAACAGCAAACCACCTGTCACCCTGTCAACAAATTACAACTAAATTTGGTCATATGATTTAAACCTATTTACAACAGAACACTTCTCATCACCAAATAAGACAAAACTGTAGTCTGTTGGACACTTTAAATCCAGCCATGCCTAATTTGGGCTTTAACTGTGCCAGTCATGCTCTGACACAGATACCAATATCAACATCGCTTTTGCTAGCTGTGCACCTACAAGCTCCTTGAGTTAAATGATATTTGTAAGTCAGGGTCCCAAGGTCCAGGCTCAATAATTCATATTACACAACAGTGCCTCAGCATCATTATAATACCACAGACCCACAAAAACAATACGTATCTACAATAATTCAAGAGGGTATCAATTTGAAGAAAATACCCCAGCTCTACATCTCAGACATTACCTTGGCTCATGATCTCACTGATAGAAGCGACATCACTCCTGACATCTCCCTATTGGAGAAAACGATGCATCCTACACCAGAAACAACTTCACCTCAGACACTAAAACTTCCACCCTAGGCATGTTCATGGACTGCCATTCCTAAGGCACAAGTGGACACAGGGAATGTATTGGTTTTCTTGCTTTGATATTAAGGACTCTATTGTGTTTCCTGAGTTTGCTGTGTGTGGAGCACATGATATTGGTATATTTTGTTCTTTGTCCAACATATATTCCTATACTCAATGTCTAAAGGAAAATCTGGTTAAGGTTACTACTATCTGTGGCATTCTAAAAAATAATGGGGTTTATTATTTTCTCTAGGAGTCACCTGCCTCATGAACCTCTTGACCCCTTGGGGAGAGGGCCACTCACAAATGCCTTCTCCTACTACCTCTCCAGTTGTCTATCACAACCTCCCACCTTGCATCTCTGACCATGACTATCACAACTACCTCTTCCCGTTGGTTACATACAAATACCACTAACCGTTACATATACTTTACCAAACTATCAATATTTTCCAACACCAACTGCCTGACTTACTACTTTGATTCAAGAAATATACCAGGGCTGGCTGGCATGGCTCAATGGTTGAGCACTGACCTATGACCCAGGAGATAGTGGTTCAATTCCTAGTCATAGGACATGCCTGGGTTTCAGACTCAATCCCCCCCGGGG